TGGGGAGTGGTGGATGAAAGTGGGTGGCAAAGGCCAGTTCTGGGACTGATTGCATTATAGGGCTCCTTCCATCACGATTTTGCCTTAGCTGAAAAGCTCTTAACATCACTCTGCATGCTGCCTGTGGGATAGCTTCCATCTCAGATCACTTCCCTGTTGTGGAACGAGGTGAGGAAGGGATTGGACCGGTCGTCAGGAGAAGTCGGTTCTGTTCTTGATACCTGTGCCATTGGCCAAATTACTTCCCTCCTCTCTAGGCCTTGGGCTCTTGGTCGGTACACCTGAGGGGTTTGACTGGGTAACATTTAAGGCCATTTGTGACCATTGCCTGCCTCTGCAGAGGCAGTTTAGCATAGTGATTAAGATCTTGGCTTTGAATCTCAGCTTTCCCACTAGTCTAGTGACTTTCGACAAGTTGATCCATCTAGGCCCCGGTTTCCTCATCAGGTAAATGAGGCAAATAATATTACCTATCTCATAGTTGTAAGCGTTAAATGAATTCATTCATGGGAAGTACTTAGAACAACACCTTGCACATTACTGTTCTTGACCTTACACTGGGATTAAAAATGGGTGGGCTGACTATGACCTGAATTTGGCTCCTAGATATGTTCTGTTTGGCATCCCACAAGTGGTGTTTGAAACATTTTTCCACTTAGTTGAAAGTCAGGATATTTTATATATTAAAAAAAAATATCCAGATTTCTGGCTTCTCTTGAAAAATGGAAAGATCATTTGATTCCAGGCCAGCCTTCCAGCGTGAGGATTTGCCCAGCTACAAGTAGCTTGTTGTCCCCACTTTCAGTGGCCCATGTATGCTTCAGGGTGCTGCAATCTCCACCAGTCCCTGGGATTCCCCTGAGTGACAGTTACTATTTCTCATCAAGCTTGTACTTTTGTTTTTCTTCTACCCAGCGTTTTCTTCCCTCCCAGCGTTACCTGCTAGCTCTCTCTAGGCATCTAATAATGTAACCCTTGCTTCACACTTCTCTTATTTGCTTCTGACCACTATGCTGTTATCCTAATTGTCTCTACTCCGCAAATGATCTAAGGCCAGGACGACCCAGTGACAACTCACTGCTGTCCTCTCCCCACAGTGCCCTGGGCTTGCTGTACTTCATCCGGCGAGGGAAGCAGTGTCTGGATTTCACTGTCACTGTCCATTTCTTTCACCTCCTGGGCTGCTGGTTCTACAGCTCCCGTTTCCCCTCGGCGCTGACCTGGTGGCTGGTCCAAGCCGTGTGCATTGCACTCATGGCTGTCATCGGGGAGTACCTGTGCATGCGGACGGAGCTCAAGGAGATCCCCCTCAACTCAGCCCCTAAATCCAATGTCTAGAATCGGGTCCTTTGGACACCCGGCTGAGCACTTGGCCCCACCCCCCAACACCTTGGGCTGCTCAGACCCTCCAGTCGAGGTCCAGCCCAGGTCTGAGAGGAACCCTGGAAATGTGAAGTCTCTGTTGGTGTGGGAGAGATAGTGAGGCCCCATCAAGAAGGCAGGTAGCAGTCAGGACCACAACTGCAAGAATGGCCTCTGTCGGCTGAAGCCTTGCTGTCTGGGAGGTCAGCAAGGGGACCTCTGTCAGGGTAATAACAGAATTGGAACCATGTCATTCTTGAGCCACCATACCTGTCACCAGCCTGTTATTTTAAAAAAGAACCAAATCAAGGATATCTGATTGGCGCAAACCACTCTTCTAGTCATCTGTCTTACCTTCCAGGGACAGCTGTTACCTTTGCCATGTTGCTGAACTGCAGCTATTCTGTTTGGAGAAACGTGCAGTTTCTGGATCTGTAGCCACAGAAAGAGAAAGAGGTGCAAAGTATTAGGCTGCTGTCAGGGAGAGGACGAGCAGATGGAGGCATCAAGCACGAGGAAAACGCACAACCTGTGTCCTGCCACACGCCTGTGTGTGCACACCCATGAACCCATGACTGACTTTTTTCCAGTTCTCTCTGCTGGGTCCCCACCTGCTGCCAGCGTTCAACAGAGCAGGCCCTAGGACCCAGAGAAGAGTCCCAGCATCGCTCCTGGTCCACCCCTCGTGACAGAGTCACTGTCTCTTCTCTAGGAATGACTAGGCACCCCAGCTCCCTCCAGACCTCACTTCTGGCAATAGTTCCTTTTTCCTGCCTTCCTGGGAATTCTGCGGTGGGAAGGGTATGATGGGTACCCAGAGACAGGAAGCCCCGCCTTCCAACTTGGGTTGCGCTGATAGTGCTGAGGGAGATAGGAATTTGCTGCTAAGATTTCTCTTTGGGGTGGCATGTCCTCTGTGAGGGGCTTGCAGCTGTCCCTCCTACGTACATAAATACAGTATTTTCCACGGTTCTGCCTGTGCTTACTTTGTCCTGCCGTGGTTGGGCCAGTGAGAGCCCTGCACAGCCAGACAGGGAAACTATAGAGAATGAGTAGGCCACCTTCTCTTCTAGACCGCAGGTTGTTCTTCCATTTGGTTAAAGTACTAAGTGCAGGGAATTCCTGTGTCCTGCCCCCTCCATCTGCAGCCACCTCTGCTCTGCCTTGGGTGAACTGCCATGATTGAGTTTCCTTTTTCTGGCCAGTGATTTCTGAATGTGTTCAGTGGAACGCACTTGGTGTAGACCCACTTCTGTATTGAAACCATCAGTGTTCCTCTTTGGGTCCTTGGGAATCTGCCCAAGAGTGTGGGCAGCTTTCAGCTTGTAGTGTTAGGGTGTCACAGATGAGTTTTGCTCTCTGCCCACGAAACTTTTTTTCATAGCCCTGCAGAGTAGGGAGGTGAAGCTGACAGGATGAAGGTTTGAGAGTGAATGTGCCTGGCTGAGGGGGGCGTGGGGGAGAGGTGTGCTGTGGCCAAGCTGGAAGGAAGCAGCTTGTTAATGGGACTTGAATCCTGGCTGCAGGGTCCAGGAGATAAGACCAACTGAGGTGACTTCCCCTGGGTTAGTGGGTTTCCCCCAACACCACAAACCACAAAGGCATGTGGCTAATGTTATTTGGGGAAGATCACCAGAGCACACATCATGTGGCTGCTGTCTCCCTTGGTCAGCTGGGGGCTGGTTGCTCCAGCTGTATTGGCACACATCTTTGGGAGTTTCCTTCAGAGACCTGTGCCTGTTCTGCATATCTTCTGTAATGATAAATCTTTGCCCCTTGAGTGGTAATTTGGTTTTTGGAAATTGCCAGAAGTCAGGGAAGCCAATGTTTTTTTTTCTCCAACAATACACAGTGATGGAACCGGATGACAGTTGGGGGTGAAAAAATGTGTGACCTTAATGAAATTATGATTTTTAAAAATTTTTTATTTATTTGAGAGAGAGAGAGCACAAGCCGGGGGGAGAGTCAGAGGAAGAAGCAGATTCCCCACTGAGCAGGGAGCCTGACGTGGGGCTCGATCCCAGGACCCCAGGATCCTGACCTGAGCTGAAGGCAGACGCTTAACCGGCTGAGCCACCCAGCTGCCCCAAAATTATGATTTTCTAAAATAACAATAAAAGCACTATCTAGAGGCAAGTTCCAGAGAGAACTGGGCAGTGGCAGGGACATGTTTGTCATTTTATTTATTTTATTTTTAATATGTATTTTTTAAAGATTTATTTATTTATTTTAGGGAGGGAGAGAGAGAGAGAGAGAGAGAGAAAATCCCAAGCAGACTCTGTACTGAGTGCGGAGCCCGATGTTGGGCTCGATCTCACGACCCTGAGATCACAACCCAAGCTGAAACCAAGAGTCCAATGCCCAGCTGGCTGCGCCACCCAGGCACCCCTGTTTATCATTTTGGTAATAAATAGCTGTGCTTAATAGATGTCCAGCAGTGGGCTAAGTGCTTTACATGCTATTTTCTTAATCTTCACAACAACCCTCAGAAGTAGGAAATACCATCTATATCTTACAGATGAGGAAACTAAGGCATTTGCCCAAGGTTACGTGTTAGGAACTAGCAGACCCAGGATTTGGGCTCTGGCTTTGACAATAAACTCATTCTGAAGACATTAATAGTTAAAGGACGTGCAAGTTCTTTAATTTTACAAACTGTCACCTCTGCCTTCCACTGTATTGCTTTAAATACAAAGGATATATAGTGCTTTGTAAACATTGTGAGCTTTCTTAGAACTGGTAGACTATTAAATATGGCCACAGATTCCCAAGTGAACGGATGAGTGTAGGAAATGTTTTTATTTCCGAAGGATAAGGGAAAGTTACCTCCACCCCGACACTGAGTTGGTGTATCTCTTGACTTCCTAGGGGGTCTGAAGCCTGCACCTCCTTTCATCCACCACACCCCTACCCCTCCACTACCTCAACTTCCATTTGGAGAGAGAAGTGGAGACTAGTGCATAACTGGTACACAGAAAAGTTATGACCCGAAGAGAAATTGGGAAAGGAGAAAGGGATATCTAGCTCAGAGAGTGCCCCTAGCTGCCGGTTCTAGGCAGCCCTGTCCAGATCAGAGCCAAATGGAGGCCGGGATGGCAGCCAGCAGATACCAGGGGGTGGGGTGGGAAGCTCCAGGCCCCCGTGAATTCTATGGGGTACACGATTCAAACAGTCTTTTCTGGAAGCACTTTCAGCTGCTCAGTGACTTCCCTGATAAGAGTAGCTTCCTCTGGCAGTCCCAGGGGGCAGTCCGTGCACAGACATGGATCTCCTCCCTGTATCTGTAGCACAAGGAACACAGAGCTTCAGGGCCAGGTAGAGTATGGGCAGATTCAGGGCACAAGAGAGGCCCTCTGTGGAGAGGGAATTAAAGCCTTGCTTGAGGTTTTCTGTAGGAGAGTAGCAAGTGGTGGTGAAAACAGCATTGAGACAGGAATGGGTAGAGTTTGCTAAGAGTTTGGATCCCTGTCCTGCTATGCTATGGGCAAGACAGAATTGTAGGGGCCTGGGGCACTTGGGTGACTTGGTCGGTTAAGCATCCGACTCTGGATCTCAGCCCGGGTCTTGATCTCAGGGTCATGAGATCAAGCCCTGTGCTGGGCTCCATGCTGGGTGTGGTGCCTACTTAAAAAAAAAAAAAAGGCAGGGCCACAAGGCTATGGGACTTAAGAGAGCGGAGTGCAAGGTTAAATCCTGGGCCCTGTTACTAGCTGTGAGGACTTAGATAAGCTGCTTGACTTCCCCTTACCTTGGTTTCCTTGTTTGTAAAATGAGGATAAGCTAGTACTTCCCTGTGTTGTGAGGATTCAGTGAGATAGCTAGTGTAAAGCTTAGCACAGTTCCTGGTGTGTAGGAAGTGATCCAGAAATCTAAGCAGTTAAAGTTACTGGGCCACTGACGCATCTCTCCTCTTTTTACAGAGGAGACACCTTTCTTCCCAGCCTCAGTGTTTGCACCTGTTAGTTGGGGAACAGGTTTGCCTGTGATCGGGGTGCAGCTACCAAGTACTGTGCTCCTATGTGTCATCCGTTGCAGAGTGACTTCTGTGTATTCTTAATTAATCCAATGAGATAGGTACCATTATTTTCCCATTTTGCAGACAGAGAAACTGAAGATTAGGAATAAACTTTTCCTAACATCACAGAGCTGATGAGAAGCTAGGCCTCTCTGCCTCAACAGCCTCATCCTCTTCACGTTCCAGGCATGTTTTGTGGTAAGTGATCCAGAATAGGAGAGGGACAGTCTCTGGAATCCAGATGTCATTATAGCAAAAGGTTGTGAATGTGAACATAAGATTGGCTTTTTAACAAGCAGCTAATTCCCTTAAAGGTGAGCAGTTAGGTGGGTGCTCATGAGAGACACAAGGAGCTTTATTGTGGCACAGGGCCAGGGAGGAGGCAGGAAAAGGACAGACATTTGTCCAACACCCCACAAACTGGCTTCACCTATATCAAGCCTGATTTGCTGGAAGCCCTGTGGAATTGATACTAGTATCCCTGTTTTATGAACGGATGAAATAGGCTCAGAGAGGTCATGTGACTTCTTAAAAGTCACTCTGAATCAAACATTTTAATTTTCCCCCGAGTTAACTGGTAGGGAGCCGTTTCTGGGGGTGGTGTCCTCTGATCACTGAGATCTGTTGCAGCCTCCTGCCCAAAGCAGGATCTAACTGAGCCCAGAAGAGGAGCCTCAGATTGTAGTAGTCAAGCACAGGGAAGGTGGTAATGGGAGGGCCCCAGCTGTGGGATCGTGGGAGGCAGGTTGTCTGAGGCCCAAGTGCCGGCTCAGGTCAGGGGGTGGGGGTGGTAAGGCTGGAAAGAGTGCACTGCTGGGAGTCATTCACACTGTAGCCTGCATCCTTGCCCCTACCCCCAGTGGCGCTCTGGACATGAGGGATCCTAGCCTCAGCACACAGGCACGGCCCATCCAACTGCTGTTCTTGGGCCCAACTCTTGTCTCCCTTTGTGGCAAAGTGGAAGCTGCCAATCTTACCCAGGCCCACGCCTTTCAGGTCCCCACTTGGGGCTCCCAGGAAGACTAGTGCAGGGGGTCGCCAAGCCGGTGTGTTTTGGTTGGGAGCGCGCTGCCCTGATAGCCTGCATAGCGCGCACAGACAGACGTTCGCGCAAAGGTTGACGGAAAGGAGGGTGCCGAGGGTGAAAGAGCGAGTAGGGGTGATTTTCGAAGACTGCTGGGACTGATGATGCCCAGCAAGGAAACCGAAATGGCGACTACCCAGGAGTTGGGCCGGAGTGCAAGACCAGCGGGAAGACAGCTTGGAGTGGAGCTTGCCAGGTGGAGGCGGCGCGGGAAGCGGCGCGGTGGGCGGACGCGGGGGAGACGCGCGTAGGCTCGCAGGAGCCAAGCCGGGCTGGGCAGCCCCGAGAAGCCCCGCGCTGGCAGGCTCGGGCTGGCGGCGCTGCCCAGGGCTAATGCGGTGCGTTTCGGGGGAACCCCTCCCATCTTCCTCCCGCACCGGCCATCTCCACCACGGCCTGGGTTCCTCCCGGGAAGGCTCTGCACCCCTTGATGGCTGCGCTGCTTTCTTGAGGGTGCCACTCCGTGCAGCCTGCCTCCAGGGGAAGATCCCCAGAAGGCCCGGGTTCCCTGGGTTTTCCTCTCCCCAGCTGCACGTTCAGGGCTATGGCTCCTGCCGACAGAGGGCGACCCCAACTCGATGGTGTCGACCGGGATTCGGGATTGGGGGTTGGGCATGTCGTGTCGCACGGGAGCTATCGAGTCGAAGTGCGGACACTGGGCCTGACTGGGTGCTTTCCTCGACCCAGGCGGGACACATTTCGAGGCCAAGGTGACACCCATTTGTTGACACCCAACGTTGCAATAACGGGGCGCAATGCACGTGAATGACGGGCTGGATGGATGCTCCCTTGTGCCTTTTTCCTTTCTTCGGAAAATGGAATGGGGAGCAGCCAGCAGTTTTAGATTAGAGTTCTGGCCCCGCCACCTCCTAGACGCGTGAGCCTGGCCAAGTCACCTTCTGTCTCGGGGCCACGGTCTCTCACCTTGTTGGCTTGCAGGGCCATTGTGAAGCATCTGGCACCCAGAAAGTACCTTCTATGACTTCATAAAGTGTCCTCTTCCGGAGGCCAGCTCGCAGGGGTGGGGAGGGGTGCGGCTTGCTGGTTTCTGTGTGCCACGTTCTAGACTGACCTTAGGGGCCTGGGAATGGGGTGGAAGAAAGCTAAAATGGTGATGCACACTTTCCCTCCCCACCTCGGTCGAGGGCCTCTTTCCTCTCTCCATCCTTTCCAGCCCCAAACAGGCAGAGCCGGCAGTACTATTCTTCAGTTCCCAATGGGAGATTTTATTTGTAGACTCGTGAATTTGCCCGCCCATCCCTCCCGCTTAGATGATTGCGCCATCTCCACCCTCACCTCACACCTCTGGCTCCCGTCCAAGGTCACGCCACCTGTGAGCAGAGACCTCGGTGTTAGGAGCTAAGAAGGCCGCCAGGGGGCGCTGCCGCATGGGGAGAGGGCTCAGGGACCAGGGCCCGCTGAAGTCCTGCAGGTTGGGCATCCGGGTTTTGTGAAGGGCAAGCCTCCCTTTCAGCGGGACCCCCAAGCCCTTCATCCCTTCCTCTCTTGGGACCTCAGTTCTCTCATGGAAGGGTGGAGTATTTTGTTTTCTTTCTTTTTTGCTAAGCAACTTTTTGTTCAGAGTAAATCTTATTTGAAGCATAAATAAATGAAACGTGGGGTGGTGATTTGGTCTAAGAGGGGATGGGATATGGCAGAGCTCTACTTGACTGCTCCCCCTTCCCCCAACATTTGGAAATCCCTGAACTCCCTTACTCAGACTCCTGACTGAGATTCTGAGCCATAGCAATTGTGGACCCTCCTGAGGCCTCCAGGCAGTGAGATGACCCACCTCAGAACCCCCACTTCCAGTGCCCCTCCCCAGAGCCCCTGTTTGGATCTCGAGAGGCCCCAGCCTACCCACCACCCTGCTGTGTGGACTCCATCAATGGTTTCCCCCTCTCTGGGCCTGAGGGAGGGGTCTCCCCCTAGCACTGCTAGCTAGCCACAGCCCCCAAGAGTCTGGATCCTGAGCCTCTGACTCAGGCCCAGTTCCAAGCCTGGCTTCGGCCTGTGTCTCACCCCAGCCGGGCAGTGGTGTTGTCATACTCTGTATGGATGGCACATAGGTAGCTCAAGCGATGCAGAGCAGAAGCGGGTACAGCAGCGCTTGACCCAGCGCAGGGCGGATGATCTGCACATCACCCGAGGCCCTGGGAGGTGGATTCGTGTGGGCAGCCCCTCAAACCAGATCCACTGGTCAGCTGCTTCCATCTGCTTCTTGTCCCCCATGGGAGTTCTGTGCTGGTAGGTCTTCAGGAAGACAATGCGGGCATCCCCAGTGGGTGATTGCTTCCCCTGGGCTCCAGGGTAAGTGGTCAGGTCATGACCCTTCGATGTCCTTGGGAGCTCAGGCTCCACCTGCTCCTCGCTCTGGTGCACTGCCACCGGTGGCTGGTGCGCCCTGTTCCTCCCCCCCAACCCCACCTGGGGCTCCCCTGGGCACTCTAATTCCGGTATCTTCCTGGGGCATCCAGCCTCTTGGAGCTCTTCGTTATCTTGTTCCACTCTATCGCAGACGCTGCTGCTCCTAGCACAGGGAGGGAAGGCAGTCAGCAGAGCAGGATGAGGGCCCTGGTCCCCCGGCCCCACCCTGAGACCACTGCTATACAGCCAGCTCAGGGGGGAAAGCTGCAGAGGCCCGGAAAAGAAACTTCACCCCCAGAGGCCTTGTGCCTGGAGGCAGGGGAGGTGATAATGGCCTGGGGAAGGAGTCCTCCTGGCTGGGGAGGCAAGAGGCAGTGGCCAGTGGTTAGGACACCTAGGACTAGATGTTGTCTGTGTGGGCCACTGGCCAGGGTTCCGCCTCTCTGGATTTCAGTTGATGGGGTGAACTAGTCCAGTGTTTTCAAACTGTGCTCCAAGAAACCTTAAGTTTCTGAGGAGACCTCTCAAATGCCCTCCCCACCCTGGGGAGGGGCAGGGTGAGGGCAGGATACCTTTCTGCCCAACACAATTGGGGCCTGAGGAAGGATACTCGAAGAGAGGTTCTGCTGCTTTAAACAGGCTGGAAAACTATGGGACGAGAGAGGCCTGACCCTTCCAGCCCAGTGTTAACTGATTGCCCGCGCGTCCGAGGTGGCCAGCTCAGAGAAAGGAGCTCCGAGGGGGGGCGTTAGCCTTCTAGTGCTAGAAGGAGACTTGCCCCAAGGGTGTGTGTAATAGACTGAGTCTTCTGTAAAGCACAGCATTGTCCTAGCTGAGTGTGTGTGGAGCGGCATGAGGACTCAGGCTCCACATAATGCCAGTACCACTGATAATTACCACCACTGAGTGTCTGTTGTGCATCAGGCCCGGGACCCTCACACCAGCCCCACAAAGTAGGAGGCAGTGAAGTGGCAGAGTGGCTTGGCGAGCACAGGCTTTCAAGGCCGACAAACCGGGGTTCAAATTTGCTTGTGCCTCTTACCATCTGCCTGATTTGGGGCAAGACATTTTACCGCTCAAAGCTTTAGTTTCATCGTATGTAAAACTGGGGTAACTCTGTCTACCTAATAGGAATGCTGTGAAGAATTAACTAAACGGGAAAAGCTTGTGAAGTACTTAGCAGATGCCTAATAAATGTCAACTTTCTTAATATTCTGATGTGATTTATGAGGAAGCCGAGCCTCAGCAAGATGACGGGTCTGCAGGTGAATCTCTGGGTTGTGTGGATTTGAGGAGGAGTGGCCCCTCTTGCCTGGGTGGTGCCCCAGTTGGTGGTTAGTCCCATTATTGGATGACTGTGACCATGGTTAGGACGACAACTCTGATATCACGCAGGAATGGCTTCAAATCCTAGCTCTGCCACTTACCACTTTTGTTAGCTGGGACAAGTCACTGCGTCTCTTGAGCCTCGGCTTCCCACCAGTAAAATAGGGTTAATCAATACCTTTGTCACAGAGCCTTTGTGAAAATTAGGTTTTCTAAATTTGTCAGCATAGATAGACAGTGCCTGTTCCTAGTAAAGGTAGTCATTGGGTCTGTGGTGGGGGCCAGGGGTGTGCCGAGCTCACCCAGTGGAGATCCCAAGGATCTTCGGAACTCTGAGCAGTGAATTCCAACACGTTTTGGCCAGGCTATGCAGTTCTTGGATCCGGGGGTTTGAGCTCTTGAGCAGCTTCAAGAGCGACAA